ACAGTGCTAACCACTACACCACCATGTCGTCTTATGTCTATTTGATGTTGTTTGTAAAAATTACAGTCCTTTTATTAAGCTTTTGACAAAATAGTTCCTTTTGGCTTGCAGTTCCTAACAAGCAAGCAGTGGATGAGGCAGTGGTCAATATGATCATCAAAGACTGTCAGCCACTCAGCTTTGTTGAAAATGAGGGATTCAGGGAGCTCCTGAAGCTTATTGTACCCTCGTATGCTCTACCAAGCAGGAAGGTATGTTTAAGAATTTTTATTATATGTTTGTACTAACTATATAACTATATTTTATTGGTGTAACAGTATTTGTATGGTTATTTTCAGACCATCAAGGACTTGCTGAGCCAGAGATATGAGGAAAAGGAGAAAACCAAAAAGGACCTCCAGAGTGCCGTTGCTGTTACTTTAACAGCTGATATGTGGACGTCTATGAATATGGAGGCATATCTAGCTGTTACTGGCCACTATGTGGACAAAGAAAGCCATGAACTCCATTCATCAGTCTTGGCAGTGCAGCATTTTCCTCAGAAACACACTGCAGAAAACATTGCCACGGTTAAAAGGAGCCTCATGGAGGAGTGGGGCATAGCAGGAAAGGTCAGGTGTCTTGTCACTGATGCAGCAGCAAACATGACTGCATGTGCTCGAATGCTGCAAATACGGCATACCATTTGTATAGCCCATTCCCTGAATTTAATTGTGAGAAAATCATGTGATCAAATCCCAACAATAACTGAAATACGCAACAAAACACGACACATTGTGACATACTTTCGATCGAGCGTGACTGCTAAAGAGAAGCTCACTCAAATACAGCAACAGCTGGGAACACCGGGCCATAAATTAATAAACGAGGTGCCAACACGATGGAACAGTACCTACCAAATGTTTGAAAGAATGACTGAGCAGAAGGAGGCAGTCTGGGTGTCACTGGCCTCATTAAAACCTGACATCACTCCACTGACTCCAGAAGAATGTCAGATCATTGAAGAGATGCTCAGGGTTCTTGCTCCTTTTGACCAAGCTACAAGAGAACTGTCTGAGGAAAAAAGGGTCTCTGGGTCGAAGGTCATTCCCATGATGAGAATGCTCCACATTGAGCTTCAACGTCAGGCCACAACAGTGACAAAAACAGCTGCTCAGCAACTGGCTGAAAACCTGAGGAAGCGGCTAACTGACGCCATTTGCAGCATGGAATCTCTCAGTGGGATGACTCTGGCAACTCTGTTAGATCCCAGATTTAAAAAGAATGGATTTGTTAGTCAGCAAAAGGCAAGTGAAGCGGTGAAGAGACTGCAGTCAGAATGTGCAGAAGAAATGAGGAGCCAAGAGCCTGACCCAAGAGAAGAAGAGCCTAGCTCTTCACATGGGTCAGAACCCAGTTCAGGTATGAAAATACATTTCTGTGGCACTTTGTGATATGATATATCATGTGATAATAAAGTAATGATTAACTATTTTTTTAGGGCACAATCTCTGGAAAACTTTAGATATGGAGGTTGCAGAGACCCAGAAGACGAGGAACGCAACAGCTGACTCCATTATTGAAGTCCAACGCTACCTGGCAGAAACAAACACACCCAGAAACCAAGATCCTTTGCAATATTGGAAATGGAACCAGAAAATATACCCACATCTTCATCAACTTGCACTTAAAACTCTCTGCTCACCATCATCGTCTGTACCATGCGAAAGAGTATTTTCCAAGGCTGGGGAGCTGGTGTGTAAGAGGAGAAATCGCCTTGGAGCAAAGACACTCCAAAAACTTTTGTTTCTCAATAAAAATTCATGAACTAATCACTTTTTTGTCTTTTATTTCATATGATTTAACAGTTAAGTTGACAAATGTGCACATAAGTTAAAAAATTGTAACTCTGAATTTTTACTCTAATTTGCTATATTTTACATACCAACTCAGTTTTAGCATTTACACGAACAAGGAATTTCTTTACCTGCAATGATTTTATAACTACTGCAGGGGTCACTATTGGGTGACCAACACAGTATCAATACAGTGCCGACACAGTTTGTTTAGTGTGTCAATACACCCCTTGAGGTATCATCGTCCCATCACTAGCTCAGACACCGTAAGGAGAAACACAAGGATTTATTTTTCAAGCGCACTTCCAAAGTAATCACAAGAATTATAGTCAAATCGAAATCAGTGTTCGTCTCCACTGCAGCAGAACAGACGATCTGACGACTAGTGGGAGGAATGCCAGGGCTCTTATGCTGTCGGACTGATAGGCTGATTGGTGGCAGGTGCTGAGGAACGGCAGGGGGGCCACGGCGATTAGTCCGGCAGAGTCAGAGAGATGTGCCACGCCCCCTACACAGAGAGAGAGTACACAACACAAGAAAACACAGGAAAACACAGGAAATGACAGTCCCGACTGTCATCATGACATTATATAAAGAACATAAAGAACAATGTTAAAATGTTATTGTGATGCTAAGAGTATAATGAAGATTTAGAATTGTTTTTTTTTAAACATGCAAAGTGC